AAGAAGGAGGAGAATAACCCAGTGTCTGCTCAGAGAGAGGGTATGCTCTGGAGATATTTTATTTAGAGTTTAGACTGGGTTTGCCGATAAGGGGAATGTATTAGGTTGGGGCAGGGAAATGGATATGATATAGTCTGCACATTAAAATGGGAATTATTTGGCTTTTATGCTCAAGTGAGGTTGAAGCAAAGATAATGGTGAGAATTGGTCACATTTGGAACGTGTTTTTAGAGGTAAAAGGGCAGAGCTTGTTGATGGGTTAGAGGTGGGGAATGATCCCTTTGTTTTTGCTCTGAGTGTGTAGAGCGACTCTTCTGTCATGGAAGGTGGGATTTCATAATTAATCATATTCCTTAGTCTACCGTGTGTGTGCATGTGGCCTTTTCCCCAGAGTTTCCCCAGCCTCCAGACACTCACTGCTGTCTAACCCTTTATCTCTCTTATATGCGATCCCTCTCTTTGCAGAGATGGCTCATCAGTTACCCTATGATCTGGGGTACCTGTGGAAAGGATTCTTTTGTCTGGCACAGTGATTTAGGAAATTACAAACACCAGGCAATTGCATATACAAATTCAGATTTCCAACTTCTTTTGAAAACCTAGAGTTTCTGTCGACAGTCAGGCTGAATTCTCACATGACTACCCTTAGCAGGAGCTGAGCCCCAATTGCCACTGTCATCCCTTATAGCTAGCTGATTCTCCAGGTGTGACGAGGGATGGGTCCTATATCACCACGTGTAAGGTATTTGCAGCCTGTGGTCTCCGACAGACTCCCAGCTTCTCCTTGTGCACTGTGATGACAGTTTGTTTTTTGCTCCAACATTTCAACTTCAGCAGCTGTAGTGTCCAGCTGCAGGGACTAATGCTGGTTCCTCTTGTCAAAATGGTGATGTTAGAAGGAGGTGAGAGCTGCTGGGATGGCCAAAGCTGGTCACCCGGGGACAGTGGTGTCTGTCATTGGGACACATTGTCATATGGCCTTTTAATTTTCTAAAAGTTAAGTGTGACCCAAGGCTTATCTGCATTCTTAATTCAACATGGTTTCTTTGTACCATTTTGTTTTTATTGGAAAACTATGGAAACCCTCTCTTGTGAATGAAGAGGGTAACTTGAACTTGGCATTTCTGCAGGGCCAACTACAAAGGAGGTATTCATCAAATATTTGTCCAGTAGGATTATTATATTGTATTCTCTCTCTCTGTTAGCAAAATCGCTGTAAATAAGTCTTTGCAAAGGTTTTGAAATCTTCATAAGAGGTTAATTGTCAGGATGAACCAGTTTTTATTTTTGTTAAAAGGTGACTTCTGACATTTCCAACCTTTTTTCTAGAGTGAGTCCCACGTTTAGAGCCTGTGATACCAAAGCCTCAGTGCTTTAAAAAGTGGTGTGCTAGGAATCAACAGTTTTCATTTTTAATTCATTGAAATGTGGTACATACCTTCCTGCCCTCTTGGGAAGTCATTAAATATATGCTTTTACTGTACCTCCAGTGATTAAATATTTCCTTTCCTGTATGTCACAGTGCTGTGCACTCATAATTTGAAGGGTAGTGTAGCACAGATGTTAAGAATGTGGTTTTGAAACCAGATTTTGTGGTATCTGATCTTGGTGCTGCCTCTCTCATTTGTTATGTCACTTTCATGACTCAGTTTTCCCACCTGTAAAATGGGGATGATGGTGGTATTTACCCTAAAATATCATGAAGAAATAAATGACACATGTAAATAATATATCTAAATCTTTTTTTTTTTTTTTTTTTTTTTTGAGACAGAGCCTCAAGCTGTCCCCCTGGGTAGAGTGCCGTGGCATTACAGCTCACAGCAACCTCCAACTCCTGGGCTCAAGCGAGTCTCCTGCCTCCGCCTCCCAAGTAGCTGGGACCACAGGCGCCCGCCACAACGCCCGGCTATTTTTTGGTTGCAGTCATCATTGTTGTTTTGGCGGGTCCGGGCTGGGGATTCGAACCCGCCACCTTAGGTGTACGTGGCTGGCGCCTTAGCCGGTTGAGCTATAGGCGCCGAGCCAATATATCTAAATCTTTATAAATCTCTTAGAACAGATTCGATCTACAGTAAATGCTTGTTATTATTTCTAAGAACATTTTATATTTCTACTGCCTGTTTTCATACGGCCCATAAGCTAAGAATGGCTTTTACATATTTAGGTGGTTGCCAAAAATCAAAAGAAGACTAATATTTTGTGACATGTGGACATTATATGAAATTCAGATTTTGGTGTCTACAAACAAAGTTTTATTGGAACACAGATGTTCCAACTGGCTCATTCGTTTATGCAGTGTCTATGGCTTTCACATTAGAACAACAGGCTGTTAAGTGCTTATTTTTTTTTTTAAATTAAATCATAGCTGTGTACAGTAATACAATCATGGGGTACAATGTACTGGTTTTATAAACAGTGTGAAATATTTTCATCAAACTGGTTAACAGAGCCTTCATGGCATTTTCTTAGTTACTGTGTTAAGACATTTATATTCTGCACTTAGTAGATTTCACATGTACCCTTGTCAGATGCACTGTAGGTGTGGTCCCACCAACTACCCTCCCTCCACCTGTCCTATCCCCTCCCCTCCCCTCCCTCCCCCCTTTCCCCTTCTTCTTGGGCTATAACTTTCTTCATATGAAAGCTATAAACTTGTTAACTGTTTTTGAATGGGACATGTCCCTCCGGGTTGTCATATGACACATTAGTGAATCTGAGACCGGAGAAATCCTCCTCTGTGAATTAACACGACCGCGTCCTCACATTCAGTGCTTGCTTTTGCTGTCCCACTTGTGATGCAGAAGCGCTCGTTTTCTGAGTCCCTTCTCAGATTGTCCACATGTTATAGCAGTATCATGATAATATACAACAACAAAGTTATGCATGTGATAGAAATGATAGTATCAACTATTTACTAAATATCTGCCCTCTTAGGTTTTTAACAGATAAACAAATGTAGAAAGTCCAAGTAACCCCCCCCCCCAAAGTCTATGGCCATTCATAGGCTTCCTGTTTACAGATGATGTCATTGATAGATACCTATAATTATTTGTAATATGGCTAAATATTTACCTTTATTTTATGTGTAATGTTTTATGTTATTTTATTTTATTTTTTTGGAAAATGGATAGTGGATTTGAGAAGAGTGAATTGCTGCCCAGATGTTGTATTAGCTGCCCTTGACATCACTAAGACCCTTTCTGTGCTAGATAACCCCAGCTGTTTCTCCCACACACTTTTACCTGTATTCATGTTTGTTTCTTTGCTGTGTCTAAGATATGAAAGAGGATCTATTCACATAGTGGCTAATCTGTTGAACCAGGCTTTGGGCTTGTTAGGGCAGAAGGAGGCTTAGAGGTAGGAAGTGATGGAGGGCCTCTCTGCCCTTTGCTTCTACTGACAGCAGGTGGCAAGTCTTCAGTGTGCTGGAAATTTCCCCTGGCTCTGCTTCTGGTTCTGCCTCTGGAACACCGTGCAGCTCTGTTGGCGAGTGGGATGGAGGGAGGTGGTCTCTGTGTTCCTGACTCTGTCACTGCCTGTGAACAAGGCAGCTGGGAATAGAAAAGCAACTTTGTTTCGGGTACAAATAAGTAACAGTGTATTCTTTGCTGATTTTGCAGTGAAAACTTTACCATGCTTTCCCTCGCATGGACTATGTGAGCAATGCAAAAGGCTTATGCTAAAAATCATTAATCGAGTGTATATCCTATTTATTTAAAGCAGGCCCTTAACCTGCCTAAATTGAGAGGGGAGAGCAGAGTGCAAGCAATACAAAGTTTTAGGGAACTTCGAATGGCTCCCTTCCCTTCCTCCATTTCAAGCTTAGAGTAAAATTTTGCTTCATAGGACTTATATGCATGTATTTTTAAGTGAGAAATAATTACTTGCTAGTTTTAAAGCCAGAAGATAAACTAATTGTTGGTTATAAAATATCTTTATTATTGGCAGAAATTTAGGACTATTATTCTCCATGGAGATTTCCTATTAGAAGGGAATAATTTGGTACAAGATAATAATACAATATTATTAAAGATATAAAATATCTTTATTATTGGCAGAAATTTAGGACTATTATTCTCCATGGAGATTTCCTATTAGAAGGGAATAATTTGGTACAAGATAATCACACAAAATTTATTTACAGCATGCTTTACAGTCTTCAGAAACATTTTCATGTTTTACATTATTTAGATACAGAGATTTAGAAGAGGACTAGGCCGCTGAGCCAGGTTTATCAGGTGATCACCCTGGGCTGAAAACCGAGGCATTCCCATTTTCTGTGCAGTGATCACCCTGTTGGTCACAACCTATCCTGTCACATACAGGCAGGGGACCTGCCCAGGCCTAGAGTGAATGCAGGGGGCTGCACTAGGGGTGATTATCAGTGGGAGTTGATGCTACTTATTAGTCAGGGATGAGAGGCTGGGAATTCTGTAAGTTTTAGTAGTCAAAATCCTGGACTGGTTCTAGACTTAAACACAGAGCCAAAGGGGCCTTAATTGTTAAGCAGTTAAAAAGCAGAAGTACAGACTAGTGCCTGGGTGCTGACAGATGTCACCTGCTCCCACAATGGAGGTTCAGAAGGACGTTGTCATCCGTGGATGTGCAGTGTGGTGGTGGAGTAGGAATCTGCAGGCTGGCAGCGGGCTGCACGCAGGGGCGGAGCGCTCACATCCACTTTCAGCCTCTGTCTTTACTGTTCCTTCCTCAGGAGTATATACTACACTTAGGGCCTGCGAATGTCAGCAGTAGCTTTATTTGCTCCCTTTCTAACAAATAATGCAGCTTATTTTATTTAGCTTAAAATGTTCTTTATAGATTCCAAAATTCCCTGTGTTTGAACTTGTTCTTTCTATGCAAGGGAAACTTGGATAGTCTGTGGATCATCTAGAACTTTTAAATGAAAAAAAAAATTAAAAGAAAACCCACTCTTGTATTTGGCAGGGTTTATATGGAATTTCTACCATTGAAGTAATCCTTATTTTATTTTTTCTTTACAGAGTGGGAAACCACCCATCAGCGATATGTTCACAGACCTGAAAGATGGAAGGAAGCTGTTGGATCTTCTAGAAGGCCTCATAGGAACATCTTTGGTGAGAATGTCATCTTTGAGGATGAGGCTGGGGGACTGTCTCCAGTCACTGCTAACACTTGATAACCCTCTGTGGGTACTTGAAATGTGAAGCCAGAAGTAGGAACATTAAAAAAAAAATGTTTTAACTAATGCTATTGATAGAACAATAGTTTGGCTTTCATGAGGGCTTTATTTTTCTCAAAGATAAAAATGACCTTAAATAAATGTTCATTGCTCTGAAACAACTTAGGTTGTGAATTACCAAAAAAAAAAAGTGAATTTGTAAGAGAGGGAATATGTTTTGAATAGTAGAGAGTATAGAGCCAGATTTAAATACTAACAAATATTTTTTTAAATGGCTGTTACAACAAACATATGGCATCTGTTTCATCCAGATTGTCAGTATTATCTTTCTTTCTTTATCAAATCCAACTCTATTACTTTATATGTAAGATACTTGATACGCACATAGAAAACTCTGCCAATGAAGGGAATGTATTTTATGGGTAGACATTTTAACACCAGAGGTCGAATTACTCTAACAGCAGAGATGCACTCTCAGTGATGAATTTCTTTCTTGCTAAAGGTGGGAGGTTGTACCCTCTCTTTTGCCCTCCAGGTGGTGGGTAGACACCTGTTGGGGAGGCTGATCCCTTCCTCAGATCAGATTCCTTGGCAGGTGGAGTAGAAAGAAGCTGCCCAGGTTACCTTACTCCAGCAGGGCATCCCTGTCTTCCCAGGTGGCTCTGGTAATGCTCCCTGGAGCCTGGGATGAGTATCTCTGAATCCTCCCTGTCCACACCCATGCAGCAGCATAAAGGGGGCACAACTTCTAAATCTATATGCATCCAGACTAATTTAAATAAAAAAAAATTTCTTTCTTGGAGCATTGATTTCCAGATTTGTCTACACATTAGAATCATGGCCAATCTTTTAAAAATTTGAAACCTGGACCATGCTTAGAACCATGAAGTCACAAACTCTTAAGGGCAAACAGAACTGGACACAGGCATTTGGTGATTTTTGAAGCTGCCTAGGAGATTCCAGTGAGCAAGCAAATTAGGGTGTTGTTAGTTGGTGAATTTGTGTACTATAAATACCTTCCTCTAGGGTGGTACAGAGACCCCCCACTAGAGCTGAGGGGCCCTGCTCACCGAGCTGCTTTTCTGTGGTATGTCAGTGTTTGCCAGGTATATGGAGGAATGATCAGTCTTATTTTGCTTTTGTGTTTTATTTTCCAGCCAAAGGAACGTGGTTCCACAAGGGTCCATGCCTTAAATAACGTCAACAGAGTGCTGCAGGTTCTGCATCAGAATAATGTAAGCTTGTAATGTGAATTTTGGGATTCTGTGTTGCCATCAGCATTATTTGTTGTGAAACCAGCCACCTGCTTGATGCGTTGGCATCAACTAATACTTGGAAGCTCCCCCCTCCCTTTTTTTTTTTATAAGAATATTGAACCTTTTCGAGGCATGAAGGAATAGTCCTTTGCTTTTTCTGACAGCTTTATTGATGTATTCTGTATATAATATGTATTTGAGATGTAGATTGACCTGATTCTCTAAAACAAAATTTCTCTTATCATTCACTTCTCCTTACTGCTGTCAAAATGTGCTAAAACAAAAATCTAGAGTTCCTGGAGGAAATTGTCTTAAAAACAATTTCTTTTTGGTTTTCATTTTAACAGGTGGACCTGGTGAACATAGGAGGGACTGACATTGTGGATGGAAATCACAAACTCACTCTGGGTTTGCTCTGGAGCATCATTTTGCACTGGCAGGTGGGGACATTTCCAGTCACGTTTTAACAGAAAGTGACAATGTCTGTGTATTAGTTTCCCAGGGCTGCCGTGACAAAGGACCCCGAGCTTTCTTGGGTGGAGCATATTGGCTGTCTCACTGTTCTAGAAGCCGGATGTTTAAGATCAAGGAGTCAGTGGGTTGATTCCTTCTGAAGGAGAATCTGTTTCCAGCCTCTCTCTTGGCTTCTGGGGGTTGTCAGCCATCCTTGGGGATCTTGGCCGGTGGCAACACAGCTTCAATATTCTTGTGATGTTCTTGTACGCTTGTCTGCATCCCAATTTCGTCTGTTTGGGAAGACATCAGTCATGTTGTATTTAGGGCCCCCCTACTCTGGGATGAGCTTATTTTAAATCGTTACCTCTGCAGGGACTTTATTCCCCTGTAAGCTCTTATTCTGGGTGTTAGAACATCAACATATGAATTTTGGAGAACATAATTCAAACTCCTAACTCTTTGGGATAGAAGAGGTTGACAAACTACTCTATTTCTCTGGCATGGAAAAAAAATAACTACGTTTCTTATGTTAAATTTAAGGCATTGACATTATTTCAGACTTATAGAAAAGTTGCAAGTATAGTCCAAAGAATTCCCAGGTACCCCTCACTCAGATTCCCATATGTTTTTTTTGTCTCATTTTCTCTCTCTGCACCTAAATACTTCAATATATACTTTCTTTTTTCTTTCTTTCCTCTCTCCCTCCTCCTTTCTTTCTTTCCTTTCTTCTTTCCTTTCTTTCCACAGATTCTAACTCTTGTAGTCCTGAGTAGAGTGCCATGGCATCATAACTCATAGCAGGCTCAAGTCATCCTCCTGGCACAGCCTTCCGAGTAGCTGGGACTACAGGCGCCCACCATCATGCCTGGCTAATTTTTCTGTTTTTAATAGGGACAGGGTCTTGCTCTTCCTCAGGCTGGGCTTGAACTCCTTAGCTCAGGCAATCCACCCACCTCAGCCTCCCAGAGAGCTAGGATTACAAGCATGAGCCACCGCCCCAGGCTCATTGTATATTTTCTAAAACCATGGCATTCTCCTGAAAACAAAGAACTCCATTATGTAAGCACAATATAATATTAATATAGTAATGTAAAGTTTATAACACTGATGTTTTAACATGTACTAAAACATGACGTATAATTATTAAAACCAGGAAAGTAAGACTGAAATAATATAATTATATGACCTGCAGAGCTTAAGGAGAATTCGTCTGTTGTCCCCCTGATATGCTTTATAGGGAAAGAAAACGCAAGACCTTCTTTTACATTTATGGTCATGTCTATTTAGTGCTCTTTAACCGGGAACAGTTTCCAAGTTTTTGTATTTCCTGATATTGATAGTTTTGAAATGTACTGGCCAGTTATTTTGTAGAATGTCTAAGGTTTTTTTGAGAGTACATTCAGGTTATTCATTTCTGGCTGGGATGCCACAAAAGTGATGTGAGCTCTTCTCAGTACGCCCTGTGGGGGCAGGTGCTGCCATTAATTCTTTTTCTGGAAATGTTAAGTTTAGTTGCGTGGTTAGGATGGTATCTGCCGGGTTTCTGCACTATAAAGTAACTGCCCTTTGTTCTTTCACGCCTGTAATCTCAGCACTTTGAGAGGCCGAGGCGGGTGGATTGCTTAAGTGCAGCAGTTTGAGAACAGCCCGAGCAAAAGCGAGACCCCAACTCTAAAACTAGCTGGGCCATGTGGCAGGCACCTGTAGTCCCAGCTATCTGGGACGCTGAGGCAAGAGGATTCCTTGAGCCCAGGAGTTTGAGGTGGCTGTGAGCTACGATGCCTCTGTACATGATTGAGGGTGACTGAGTGAGACTCTGTTTCAAAAAAAAGTATTTTATGGGGATAATTGTTGAGACTACGTAAATATTTAGTTATTGTCAAACCTTTACCCATTAATTTTAGCATCTATTCATTACTCTTATGTGGATCGGTTATTATGGTGATGCTCAACAAATAGTGATTTTCTAATTTTATCATTCCTTTTACATTGATTAATATGCTTTCTACTTGTACTTGTCTCTTGTTTCTCTGTCTGTGTTATCTATCCATTCGTTCATTTACATACCAGTGCAGACTTATGGATTTTTACATGGGTTTATAGTATTTTACTGTTCATACTCAACTTTGATGCTCAAGTTTTCCTAGATTTGGCCAGTGTGAGCTTCTTAAATTGGCTTCTGTGTCCTTTTAGTATAACTACATCAATATTCGAGCACGTTCTTAAAATACTACATGAGAACAAATAGTATAAATATTAATTCTAGAGTATAATTGTTATTGCTATATGGAAAGGTATTTCATTCTTTGATTTTGTAGTCAGTCAAGAGATGTTCCTTTCTTGTTTATTTTAATAGAAAATAAAAATTGAGTTTTCTTCATTTGAATGTTTTTGTAAATGTATAGTATTAAAATAGGACCTGTTTTGAACACTACAGTGAAAGTAGTGTTCATTATAACTGAGCACAGTGCAAGTGCTGGCTAGGGTCTGGAGGGTTCAGTAATATAGGAAAGTGAGGCAAAAATCACCTCTAACTTCTAGCACTCAAAATGGTCACAGTTAAAATTCTATGATTCTGGGGTTTAAAGGAAAATTTGAAATAAAATGAGTGCCAGTTACTTGTGCCATCATGATTAATTAGCACAGTACTCCTTACTCAAGGACTTGTTGGAGTGACTGTGTTGGTTACAGGCAGGCTTGCCTTTCTCGTGAACAGGTGAAGGACGTCATGAAGGACGTCATGTCAGACCTGCAACAGACGAACAGCGAGAAGATTCTGCTGAGCTGGGTGCGCCAGACTACCAGGCCCTACAGCCAAGTCAACGTGCTCAACTTCACCACCAGCTGGACAGACGGACTTGCCTTTAATGCTGTGCTCCACCGACATAAGTGAGACATCTACTTAACTGTGGGCTCTACAAATTTGTCTCCTCTCTGCCCCTCCCCTGCCACTCCCCAAAGCCTCTTCCCCACTATCACTGCTCTCATCTCTGCACTTTCTCTATGAAAATCTTAAGGAAAGAAATATCATGGAAGAACACTACGCGTCAAGTCTTTATTTCCATGGGATTTAAATGCCACAGTGCAATGTCCCTGGTTTGTCCTGTATAATTATAAGCTAACGAATGTGAAATAATTCACATAGTTCAGTCCCCCTCAGTTAGCACTAACTAGTAATGTATACAAAGATTTGTGTAAGCTGCTCTTCTCCTACCAAAAGTCCAACTGCATAAATTCAACGAAAAATAGTCAAATGATTTTTTTGTGAAACTTGTAAACAGATGCTAATTTTATGGAAGACCAAAGGTCCAAGAATAGCTAGCATGCTTCTGAAGAAACACCAGACTGAAATACTTTACAAAAAGAAACCCAAGCTAACTACGAAGTTCTATTAATTAAGACTATGAAGTACTATGATGAATGCCCTAGTATAATAAGCTGAATCATTGAAAATTGCTAATACCTGATTGTTTTTGATGTATGTCAATGGTAGTTTCATATAGTTCAGCCTAACAGAATAAGGCGCTCAGAAATTACATAGGAAACTCTGACATAAAAGGGAGCTAATATTCCAGATTACTAGATGGTATGGGATAATTGGTTATTTGCGTGTAAATAAGTGCATTGGTGCCTCCCCTCATCAAACTCGAAAAATAAATTCTACGTGGATCAAGGATTTAAATGTCAAAGGCATAATTTGTTATGTTTTATTGCTGTTGTAGTAAATGATCAGTTTTCTCAAGTTTTATTTCCAGTATATTCTTTGCTGGTATGTGAAAATACAGATGTGTCTACATTTCATAATTTTGTATCTGGAAACTTACTCAATTCTTACAAATTTAGTAAGTTTATTTCTGTGACTGTGGTTTTTTTTTTTTTTTTGGCCTCCCCCCTTTAAGAATGTCCTTGAATTTTGAGTGTTTTATTTCTTTCCTTCTCTGGTCTTCAATGCAGTGTTGATTTGAATTGGTGATAATGAGCTGAATGTTTTGTTCTTGATAACAAAGGGAGGACTTTACTGTAAGAATGATGTTTGTTGCAGCTTTTTTGATATGCTTTTTATGAAGCTAGAAAATCCTCCCCACCCAACCTTCTCCTCCTCTTCCTTTATCAGTTTAAGGAGGTTGTCTTTTGTTCCTACTTGGTTAAGAGATTTTATCAAGAAATGGTTGGATTTTAGTAAGTACCTTTTTCCATTTATTAATTAATTGATACAACAATATACAGTGTTTTCTTCCTTTTTTAGAGTGTTTTCTATGTACTAGGTACAGGTTATATAGCAGAGAACAAAAGAGGCAAAAATCTTAGTGTTTTGGTGTGTATGTTCCAGTAGAGGGACATTACTGAAAAGAAATAAAAATGTAAGTTATAGGGTATATAAAAATGGTAACATGCTGCAGAAAAGTGTACATCAAGCAAGAAAGGAGGAGGTATCTGGCGTCTGGCACACCAGTGGCTGTCGTGCCCAGAGTGTCGCCCACTCTGGTAATAGATGAAATGTGTTGGGGGAAGGCAGTTGGGGAAAGCAAATCCCAGAAAGTAGATAAGTCTAAGATTCAAGAACAGACAGAGGGCAAAGAAAATGATTAACTTTGGGGAATATAAAAGCAATAATAATGTCCAATTGGAGAGATTAAAAGAAAATTAAGATATAAATGAAATACAGTACCAGACAATGGTAACATGGAGAGGAATGATTGGTTGGAAGCTCTCAGGGCCTTTGGTTACAGATAAGAGCTGCATTTTCTTTTCTTTCTTTTTTTTATTGTTGGAGATTCATTGAGGGCACAAAGAACCATGTTACACTGATTGCATTTGTTAGGTAAAGTTCCTCTTATAACTGTGTCCTGTCCCCAAGAGGTGTGGCACACACTGAGTTTCCCCACCATGTACTAGGACATCAGTTGTCTTCATATCAGAATTGAGTACATAGGATTCTTGCTTCTCCATACTTGTGATGCTTTACTAAGAATAATGTGTTCCCCTTCCATCCAGTTTAATACATAAGATGTAAAGTCTCCATCTTTTTAAATGGCTGAATAGTATTCCATGGTATACATATACCACAACTTGTTAATCCACTAGACTGTTTATCACAGCTCAATTTACAATCATCAAAATGTGGAAACGGCCTAAATGCCCACCAAGCCAGGAATGGATTAGAGCTGCATTTTCTATTCTGCTAACCTTGATTATTTAAATGGAGAATTTAGTCCGTTAACACCGATTGTAATAATTGATATATTTAGATTCATTTTTACCACTTAGTTTGAGCTTCTCGTTTCTCTTGCCTTTTCTATGTCTTCTGTCTTTCTTGTCTTCTTTTGTATTGGTATATTCCTCCCCCTTTGGTTTTTTCTTTTACTCTTAGGGAAATATTATATAGTACTTCTACTCTTAGTGTTTCCCTCAGAATTAACCATTAACCAGGCATATTCAACCAATATAAAATTCTTAGAGTGTGTTACCTTTTATTTTCATATTTATAAATTGCTTTCAAATATTATATATTTGACAAGCTTTGGGGATATGAAAATAAACTTCAAAATATAAAACTGAAGTGTATTTGAGTATAACAATGCCTCCTTTGTTTCCATATATTTCATCTTCATTGCTTTTTGTTTACATGGTGATTTCAGACCTGATCTCTTCAGCTGGGATAAAGTTGTTAAAATGTCCCCCATTGAGAGACTTGAACATGCCTTCAGCAAGGCTCAGACTTACTTGGGAATTGAAAAGCTGTTAGATCCTGAAGGTATTGTCCAATGTTTAATTTCATCTACATTTTGTTTTATAATTTTGAATGCTTGAAAAGCAGTAGTTTTTTTTTTTTTCTTTTAAGAATAAATTATGAGACTTGAGGAACCTTTTTCCTTTTGAAGTTAGGTGCAAGGCATTTTATTGCAGACTATCTATTCGTAATTTATACTTCGCAATTTGTAGGTTCCTTTAAGTAGAAATTTAATTATGACATTGGCTCATAGTTGATCTAAATTAAGATTTACAATTTTAAGAAAATAGAGTTATTAAACAGCTCAATATTTCATTTAGTTGATTGAAATGCATTCTTGTGTGAGCTTCTTGCTTATGATGTAAAGATTTTGCAGGGTTGAAGTCTAGACTTACTTTCATAGTAAGAATAAAGTCTGTGTCTTTATCATAAAGAGCAACATATGATAGCTTATGTTTGAGAATTTTGGGGAGTTTTTACAGAAGATTTTTAAAAAAAGGATCTTGAACAAGAATAAATCTTTGCCTTTGTCTCATGTAGTGTGATGTGAAGTAGCAATTTACTGAGCTATGGTATTATACAGATTACATATTAGGTATTATTTATGGGGGTGCTGAGAGTTATTTTATATCTAATATTGAACAGTTCACCTATTTTCGACATCTAATTTAAGGTAGATCTTATATTCTTCCACTTATAGATGTTGCTGTTCCACTTCCTGACAAGAAATCCATAATTATGTATTTAACGTCTTTGTTTGAGGTGCTACCTCAGCAAGTCACTATAGATGCCATCCGTGAGGTGGAGACACTCCCAAGGAAATATAAGAAAGAATGTGAAGAAGAAGAAATTAACATACAGGTACAGGCGAATTTTTATTAAAATGTTTGACTTGCCATATTTATTTTCTCACAGGTAATAGTTAAAAACATGGTCCAAGGGTTTTTTCCTTGACTGAGGACCTCTTGGTTTCATCTAAGTTCCAATAATCAATTAGCATGTAGTCACATGTGCATAGTAGGAAAGCCTAACTCAACCAACTTCATTATGAAGGAAATATATTATTTCACATGACAAGGCTGGAGTTAGGGTCTAGGGCAGTTGATCACATTGCTTCATGACGTGGTAATAATCGGTGTTTTTCCATCTGCTGGTTGCCATCTTTTATCCCGATTGTCATGTGATAAAGATGGTTTTCCTCATATCAGCCTAGGTTTTTTTCTAAGTACTGATTTTCTTTCTCCTTTGTGGCCATTAAAAAAGGAATTTTTTTCTATTTTAATCTCACAAGGACTATCCAAAGATCTTTCTTTGTTTTCATTGAGGAGGACTAATCCATTTTAAGCTATTTGGCAAGGTTTTCATGAAGGGGATTACAGTGGTTTTATTCACAAATGAGGTTTTATTTTTTAGGAGATATAGATAAAATCATAATTTATTTTCTCCTTAATTGTTTTGAATTGATCCATTTTTTATCTCATCCTATTTTATTCTCATCATCCCTTTGTTTAGAAAATGAGAGCATCCTGAGTTGGGTGAGACCTTAGAAGTCAATTAGTTCAACCTTTTAATGACCAAGCAAGTGAGGGATAGACATGGATTTCAAAATGATAAGAATATGTATTTCAGAGTGGCAGAAAGCTTGGGTTCTGGAGCTAAAATTTCACCCTGTTGCTACTTGTTTTGGATCAATTACATAATAATCTCTCAAATGCAGTTTTATCTGTAAAATGTGCTTAAACCACCCACTTTATAAAGATAATGAATTCAAAATACCTAAAAGAATACTAATAAATACTCAGTAAACACAAGCTATCATTACTATAATTTTTCCTCTCAGTTTGTTTTGACATGCTCATTTAACAAGTTTCTTTTAAAAATATTATTTAATTCCCATACAGTGATAATAGTCATGAGTGGATATAGCTTCTTTTTTTCCTCTGAGATTCAGAGAACTTAGTTATTACTTTACATATTCTTTGGGTAGTGAGTATCAATTCTTTTATTTTTTTTTCCTTTTCAAAACTAGCATAATTTTATACAGAAGGCAAAAAAAAAAAAATAATTATTGAGAAACAGAGGAAGAGAGAGGGGGCCTGACTGTGAATCTAAGGCTCTTCTTGGCAGTTTTAAAAGTCAAGTGGTGCTGAGGAAAAGCCTTAACTTTGTATAATTGACTGAGAAAGTGCCGGGAAGCATTTGCCACTAGCGGTGTAGTTACTATCCTGCATCAACGGGGCACCCTTTTAGATGGCTCAGGTAACCTGGCTTTGACTCTTGCTTGGGTTTATTGGATTGGGATTCTTTTTGTTAGAAAGATAGGGTTTTTTAATTCACAGTGGTAAAGCCATTCTTTCTTCAAAACAAAAGAGACTTCATTTGCCTTTCATAATGCACAGATAAAACTATCACTCCTGGTTAGGGTTCATGGTGGCGTGGTAAGAATTTCAGAAACTATTTGCTGTTTGATCAAGTGCAAGTGTGTTAACATGCACCTCTTCATTGGCATGCTTTCATTTGTGCCTTAGAGGCTGAATTATGTTAATTGAGAAATAAAATGTGATCAAGTTTTAATTATCTATTCTCTAATGTAATTTGCCACCCATTACTCTCCAATGAATGCTAATAACCAGACTTTCTCTCTTGCTTGTTTTTTTATACAAACATATGCTTTCAGTCAGCAAATAGCTCCTGCATTTCTGCTTAAATGTCCGTTGAAGGTCTCCTCATATGTTTTGATTAATACCTTTTGCACATTTGCATTGAGACAGCGCCTTCCATCTCCCACCTCCTGGATGCTGGTGCCCATCTGGGTGACTTTTGGCTGGTTGCTAACTTTTCTAGTTCTTAGAAATCTTCATTGAGGCATAGCAGTTTGGGTACTATGCGATCTCCAGGGTTATTTTAGCTCTACAGTTTTAGGATTTTAGGTCTAAAAGTTAACTTATTTTCTCTCTGTGTTTGTACTGTCTGTCTCTTAGTTACTTAGTGTTTCAGTTCCACATTCATTTTTTAACTTCTGTGTTCAGTTTACTGGATGCATTAGATTCTTCTGCCTAAATATTTTTTTCTGTGTGCTTGTCTTTCCGTCCCAGCCCTCATACTAATTAAAACCCATCTTCTCTTCTAGTTTGCAAGACCCAGTAGTAAAAGTGGACTTTCCTCTTTCTTCCTCAAGATTCTTGTATGCGTGATTTCCCTTCTATGAAGCGTCCCTCCATCCACAGTTGTGTGGCAAGCTGCCCAATTTTCTTCAATTTAAATGGAACCTTTTCCTAGATGTCTTCTCCAATTCACCTGTCAAAATCCAGCACCAGACACATGTACACACACACATACACACACACTCTCTCTCTATCTGATTCTTATAAACTTTGATTTCTTGCAAACTTTGTTAAGAATTTTAAAGTATACTTTGAGATGGGAAAACCACTGAGAAGTTTTAAGTAGGCAAGTCTTAGTTTTGATTACATTTTCAAAAGATCATTCTGGCTGTTGCGTGAGAAATGGATCGTGGAGTTGGGAGTGTGGGGTGACAACCAGGAAGTAGAGGCCCTCCCCCTGCCCCCTGCCACCACCATGCCCACCCCTGTTAATAGGCTGTTGTAGTCCAGAGGAGAGGTGTAGATGGTTGTGAAGATGGGAAGGTCTGGATGGATTTGAGATAAGTTTTGAATTATCCGGCTTCCAAGTTTTTATTTATTTTTATTTTTATTTTTTTGGAGACAGAGTCTCTATGTCATTCTTGGTAGAGTGCTGTGGCATCATAGCTCACAGCAACCTCAAACTCCTGGGCTTAAGCGATTCTCTTGCCTCAGCCTCCCAAGCAGCTGGGACCACAGGTGCCTGGCACAATGCCTGGCTATTTTTTGGTTGTAGTTGCCATTGTTGTTGGGCAGGCCCGGGTTGGATTCGAACCTGCCAGCTCCGGTGTATGTGGCTGGCACCCCAGCTGCTTGACTTCCACGTTTTTAGTTGGAGTAATTAGGTGCAGGGAGGCCCCTCCCTGCTGTGGGGTTTGAGCCTCATTCAAGGGCTCTCTCCTGACGTTTCTTTACTGAATTCTGCTTTCTGTTGAGGTCATGGCTGATTTTAGGACTTGTGATAGGGCTTTGTTATAAAATTGATATGGGCGATTAGCTGCATCCAAATTAGATTTCTGATTTTAATTGTACAGTAACTTGTGTATCTTGTCCCATCTGCTAAGATGAGGAAGCCTGAGGAGGAACAAGTTCTGGAGAACAGTGAAGGTTTAATAAGCCTGTGATAAGCTTGTGAGACATTGAAGTGTGATAAGCCTGTGAGACATTGAAGTGTGATGCCAAGGTAGTGGGATAAAAGACTTGGGACTTCAGACTCCAAGGTGAGATGGTTCTTTAAAGCCAATGGTAGAAGATGAGCGAACTCAGGCCAAATATACAAAGGGAAGAAAAAGAGCTGAGGGCTTAATTTTGAGGAGATTCATTACTAACAGGTCAGCAGCTGCTGTTGAACCCGGTGGGAGACCAGCATGGTGTCATCATAGAAGGGTAAGGAGAACTTTGAGAGGCTGGGGATGGTCAGCCCTGTTGAAGGATGCTACCGAGGGCCAGAGTGAGAAATGTGGGGTGATCAACTCCTGGGTTTTGCATGGAAAGTTCTAGTTTATGTTGGTTGTTCCAGCATGGTTATTTTCAGAAATATTCTCCTATTTTGGATAATTATTTGGTCACCCCCAAAGGTGATGCTGGAAATGTAGATTTGGCGATTGGTGATGTCAGCTGTGGGGCCAATGCAAGCCGGGGTGAAAGGGAATGTTAACAAACTGGCTGTTAAATACAAGAGCGTTTCTTGTATTGTTTTCTGAACATTTCTGAACATTTGAATTAGTCATTTAAAAATTGTGGCTGAGAGATGACAAAAGTAGAGGTGGGATGTGGGCAGGGTTTAAAGAGGTTGGGCTCTCAAAGGGACCAAAAGAACCAGAGAGGTGGTCCATGTGGTCATAAGATCTTAAGGAAATACTCAGTTGCTTAGAAAGAGCTTGAGAGAAATTTATTCCACGAGCTCTTGAGACAAACCAAAAAAGGACAAGTAATTGAGGGAGTAATTGCCTTAAAAAAAAGAAAAAAATCCGTACAAGAGCCTGTGGCTGTCTTTTAGTGTCTAAAATGCAATGCCAACATGCAATTCAATAAAAGCAATTTAACTAGGGGTCAGAGCAGGGTTCTAATCTTTCTCTCTTTTTCCTTAATTTGCATCCATCCTTGAAGGCCCAACGTGTTCCAGCTCCTTTATGAAACTTTCCTATTTTAGCCCTTGGTGAACGCAAATGTCATTCCTTGTTGGGACCGTGGCATTTATCACCGTGCTATTAACCATTTTATTTTTGCTCAGGGGTGATTCATTTGGCTTATTTCTCTCTCTGGAACTATATTAGACTCTCCCACAGAACTCCTAAATGCATGCCACGTTTGGACTCCGCTATTCCAGCACAGTGAATCCGTGCGCTCTGACTAACTCGCAAAGTGTGGCATTGCTCAGCTGACTCCTGGGATTGTGGTTGATGCCTACGATATGGTGGTACCTCCCTTAGGTTCTCCATATCAGGTGTCCTTGTCTTCATGATAATTGTAGTTTTTCTTCTGGGCTTTGTTTTTATAGGGTACAGCTCGAGAGGAGGAACGCAAGAGTCTCGGAGCTGAAACATCCGGTGCTGTCCCCGAGGTCGACATGGATCTGGACAGCTATCAGATAGCACTAGAGGAAGTGCTGACCTGGTTGCTGTCTGCGGAGGACACTTTCCAGGAGCAGGAGGACATTTCTGATGATGTTGAAGAAGTGAAAGACCAGTTTGCAACCCACGAAGTAAATATCTGTAGTTGCTGAACAGGGTGTTTCTGCTGTGGGGTTTGAGCCTCATTCAAGGGCTCTCTCCTGACGTTTCTTTACTGAATTCTGCTTTCTGTTGAGGTCATGGCTGATTTTAGGACTTGTGATAGGGCTTTGTTATAAAATTGATATGGGCGATTAGCTGCATCCAAATTAGATTTCTGATTTTAATTGTACAGTAACTTGGGTATTTTGTAGAGCCGCTCTCTTAAAGCAATGCATAGTAATGCTCATTCCTGAAGCATGTTGTTATAGTGAGACACAAAACGGCAAAGCAGTACGACAATCTTTAAGTTCCGAGTTTTCCCCTGGAAGTGATTGTTTTCAATTGCCTGATTAAGCAAATTCCTACCCAGTGTTCTTACACTTTTGTTTTTTTTTCTTTTTTTGCGACGAGGTCTTGCTTTGTTACCCACGTTGGAGTGCAGTGATGTCATTATGGCTCATAGCAGCCTCAAAGCCTCAAACTCCTGGGCTCAAGTGATTCTCGGGCTTTACTGCCTTAGCCTCCCAACTAGCGGGGATTGTAGGTGTGCGCTACCATCCTGCTAATTTTTATTTGTTTGTAGAGATGGGGTCTTGCTGTGTTGAGAAGGCTCCTGTACAATTTTGTGTAATGAAAGTTTCCTGCTCTTTTGAGGATATACATTGTTGTTGTGAATTTGACTATATGGAGATTTATTTTTGGTTAAGTAGTTGTTTTGTGTAAGTATGTTAATTGACGCTTCTTATTTGCTGTTTTGGATTGAAAATAATAGAAATGGTGATATTCCTGAAGCAGTTCATCTAGGGTGAGCATGGTGTTTTATTTATTATATTTATGTATAATTTCATGCTTTCATGATCTATTAGTAGCACAATCAATAACTGGTATTTATCAGATGTAACATTGTTCTCTTTGAGTTGTTTCTGTTTTTACATATACTAGGTGCGTATTCCTGTTTTCAGAGCTTAAAACATTGGATCAAAGTCTTCCCTCCCTCCTTTCTTCTTTCTTTCTTTTTTTCTGAGAGAGAGGGTCTCACTCTGTCCATCACAGAAGTGTAGTAGCCTAATCATAGCTCACTGCAGCCCGAAACTCCTGGGCTTCAGTGATCCTCTTGCCTCAGCCTCCTGAGTAGCCGGGACTACAGGCGTGCACAACCACACCTAGCTAACTCTTTTACTTCTTTTAGAGACTGGTCTCACTAAGTTCCCCAGGTTGGTCTCAAGCTCCTGGCCTTCCAAAGTGCTGAGATTACAGGCTTGAGCCCCTGCACCCAGAGTTCACTTAATTTGATCTCTACTAGTCTATCTTCTTCTGCAGCATTGCTATGGAGTACAGCCATTAGCAACTTAGTCAGGTTTATTCTGCAGTGAGTGGCTCACAAACGATGATGTACTTTTCCAGGCTTTCATGATGGAGCTCACTGCACACCAGAGCAGCGTGGGCAGTGTCCTGCAGGCGGGCAACCAGCTGATAACACAAGGAACTCTGTCTGATGAAGAGGAGTTTGAAATCCAGGAACAAATGACCTTGCTGAATGCTAGATGGGAAGCACTTAGGGTGGAGAGTATGGACAGACAGTCTCGGTGAGTGGAAAGCCAAGACATGAACCCTTTATTCCATAGGCTACTTGCAGTTTAGTTCAAGTGGAAGTCCGCATGTCTGATCACACAAGATCATTACAGAACTTGCCTCGTAAAACTCAGACCCCTGTTGGTGCTGTTGCTGGAATTTTGCTCCATCTTTGTTTTCTCTTTGATGCATTAACCAAGCCAAAAGATAAAAGTTGGCATATGGAACTGAGCAAAAAAGGAGAAAACATTCAAGAGGGCCAGTTAACTATTTGCAGTAATACAGTCAGCCAGCCGTTGACTGGGTTTGGAGACAGGACTATTGACCTACCACCCCATCCTGTGCCCTCTTTTTAGCTTTCCCATGGCTCACTTTCTTTCAGTATTGTGTATTACAGAGCAAACTGCATTCCCTTGCCATTTCCACCTATTTAATAAGCAGGAATTCCTGACTGAATAAAACAATGATTCTGATATGAATACCGGGTGCTGTCACTTGCATTCTTTAACTTTGTAGTTAGTGGCTCCATCTAGGAAGAAAAAGAGACGTTTTTTCCTCTTGGTTTCTATAGTTGAAGCCTAAATGCTACTCTGAATGTGTGGACAAGGGTGTGTGGCCTTGCCCCGTACCTCTGGTGCCTGGAGTTTGTATTTACCTTTGCAAAGGGCAATAGCTTGTGGGAATAACGCTGTGTTCCCCGCGGACAGGCTGCACGACGTGCTGATGGAACTGCAGAAGCAGCAGCTGCAGCAGCTCTCGGCCTGGTTAACTCTCACCGAGGAGCGCATCCAGAAGCTGGAAGCTCGCCCCCTCGATGGGGATTTAAACGCCCTACAGAAGCTCCTGGAAGAACATAAAGTAAATCCATCTCATATTTTTTTAATACCTTATCAAATATGAAAGAGCAGCACTTAGCCTTCTCAGAGGCTGACGACTTGTATCCTTAGCACGGAGAAAGGACACTTCTTCGCTGCCGTGTTTATTCAGCAGCTCATAGGGTAGGGTTCCCAGGGATGTGACTTTTCGGAGTTAGGAATGAAAGCACAGGTAACATTTTGTATGGGAATAGGTAGTTTTCTTCTGAAGGGACGTCCCTTCTGTAGGATTCGCACGTGGTTAAGAACCTAGTGTACTGCGCCAGTGCGCACAGAGGTGCTGTCCCTAACCCGTTAGGGAAAACGGTTGCTTTTTCTCTGACCCAGGGAAGCATGAAGAAGTTTGGGGGAACCAAACTTTGGTGGACAATTTAATTTGGTCACAAGTCTAGGGGATAACTTTTCATAGTTCTTATAAAAATATCCTCTCTGTAAAAGGTTTAAAGAATTTTATTTATCAGTGAAACCTCTAGATATCTAGTAAAGCTTTAGAGGTACCTTAAACACAACTCTGGGAGCAGGTGTTTGACGACATTATTGATAATGTTGAGATAAATCACTTGTGTACATATGTCCAAGGACCACGCTCTTTCCTTGGAAAAAGTGAGAATGGAAAGTGTCTGAATTGCTTTTTGGGGGAGCTATCAGAGTAACTTCTGGCTAGCAGACAATGTTCTCCTTACCTCTTACTTAATACCGTACTGCACCAGCTAAAATGATCTCTGACTGTATATTTAAGCTCTGGACTTTTGCTTTAACAATTCTATATTTTTGTCTTGCTTTCTAGTATGGACATTCAATCCTTCTGTGGAAAAGTAATTTGTTTTCTTGCCACCACTTGAAATAAAAGTGATCATATTTCCTGTTTTCAATCTGTTATGACATTCTGTTTTCAAACCGCTGTGGTTCATAATGAAATGTGAAGATGTATAATGGGCTTGGTTCATTAGTGGAACACTTAGGGTAATGATTGGAAATTTAAATATGATGCCTCATTGAGTGTCCTTAATTACTATTGACAACTAAGTACATTTTAAATAGGTAAATGTGAAAGAGTAAGAATCATGGTTTATCTTAATGTTTTTCTTTAGAGTTTGCAAAATGATCTTGAGGCTGAACAGGTGAAAGTAAATTCATTAACTCATATGGTGGTAATTGTTGATGAAAACAGTGGGGAGAGTGCCACAGCTGTTCTTGAAGATCAGTTACAGGTAAGGACCCTGTAAAGTGAGATAATCCTGAAGGGCATGGGGTCTGAGACCCAAGCACGGGGTGCCCCATCCTTCACGACCTGTCTTAGTGTTTATCCAGGAGGGTAGAAAAATCCATTTTTGGTTGTACTTCCCAGTTGGGGTTCCTGTGGGTTGTAAGAGTACCCATGTGTGGGTTCCTTTCCGTCAATCCTCGAGGGGAATGGATGGGTCTGGCTGTGCTCCCCAGGTTCCTCCTTCATGATATTAACAAGATTGGGAAGCGCGGGAACTGATCTCAGCTAGTGGCCTACAGACTTCTTGGTTAGAATCACTTGGGGGAGTTTGTTCCTGGGCCCTACGGCAGTGGTTCTCAACCTGTGGGTCATGACCCACAGGAACTGTATTAAAAGGCTGTGGCATTAGGAAGGTTGAGAACCACTGCTCTAGGGAGACCCGAATCCAGGTGGAGGAAAGGATAGTGAATCTGTATTGCAAAGAAAAAAAATTGTATATACATGTTAAAATTTGAGAATTTCAGCTTGTAGGCTTTGGCAGATTACTATGTAAACTTCCACAGTTTCAGAATCCTTAACAAATTGCTTTTTTTTTTTTTGCACAAAGGCACTAGTGTTTCTTTGTAAGTCTTTATAAAGAAATTGGTTGGTATTTCACTTGAACAATACCTAATAAGATGATCTCTAGACTGTAATTTGATGGTATGAAGTCATTTTTCTCTTATAAAGAAATGTCCTGAGACCTCACTGTGGTAGTATTTAGTTATTACAGGAGTCTGAGGGGTAGGTATTTCACGTGTTGACCGTTTAGTTATGAGGAAACAAACCCAGAGAGGATAAATGATGCTGTAGGCAGGGATGTCCAACCTGTGGCCTGTGGGCCATAGGCTGATTTGGTGAGGACTTTATTTTGCTTATCTGTGGTGTTGGATATTACAAAAAGAATGGACAGACCTTTTTTTTTTTTTGGCTAACCAGCTTTTGTTAGTGTTTGTGTATTTAATGTGTGGTCCAAGACAACTATTATTCTTCCAATATTTCACTGAAAGGGAAAGAAAAAGGTGAGATACCCTTCTAGGGACTTAAATAGACAAAGAGGGGACACAATCCGAATGGGACGTTGGCTCTAAGTTCTCTATCCTTTGTACTCTTAAAACTTACTCTAGTGTTAAACATCACAATAGTATAATATGAATTAAATAATTCTTGTTCACATGTGAGTAATATAGAAACAAATATTAGCATTTGTTAGATATTATGATAAAATAATTTTCAGGGAAATGATGAAGAATGATTTTTAAAAATTAGTTAATCAAATTTTATTTATGTATTAAAATGTATAATTTTTAATTATATATAATTTATGCATATCACTATGTATAATCTTTATATATTATTTTATTTGTATATTTTACTTATTTATTTATTTAGAATTTCTGATACTTATAATACTCTGTTGCTAATTTATGGAGAATTTCGGTGGAAATTTTCATGTAACATAAAACAGCAATTAAACATTTTACTGTTTTATAGAAATTCTCTTATTCAAACCATATATATATATTTTTTTTTTGAGACAGAGCCTCAAGCTGTCCCCCTGGGTAAAGTGC